ATAGCAGGAATAAATCCCGAAGTAAAGGGATAAGTATAAACAAAGGAAACACCAATCCTATAAGAAGATATTCTCTGGTTCGGGTTAGGAATAACTATATGAAGGTCATCTCTCCAACGACAATCTTTTCGAACAGTGGAAATTAAGGGTTCAGTAATTAAAGAAGGATAAGTGTCAGCTCTCTCTAATTTAATTACTTGGTCACGAAGGGATTCTTTATCATGCTCGAAAGATAAATCAGTTGGCACTATTTCTTCGACCAAAGGTTCTTGCATCTACTCAAAAGATTCTTTGCCTTTAGAGGAAGATCTATTAATGAAAGAACCTCTAGAAGTAATGCCAGAGCTAGAAGAAGGAGTGATGGAACCAGAGCTACCACCACGAATGGATCCAAGGCCACGAAGTCTACCCCCTCTACCCCTTCTATGTCTCACAGGGGCATTGGGGAAACTGTCAAGAATTGGGACTCTTCTAGGGTTGGGATTTGAAGATGACATGGTAGAAGGGCTTGAACAGAGGAAGAAGTGAATAGAAGTAAATAGTGAAATATTAGGTAAAAATTTGTGGAAGGAGGATTAAGTTTATATAAAAGCAACCGTCAAAGATTAAGAAGTGTAATGATGGAAAGCCTATAATAAAGGCAACTATCACTTCTTGAATAGTGGATTTGAAGAAGCCTTGAAAAAAGGCTGCAGAATTACAGAGCTAATGAGAAGGAGACACGTGTGCGATGCATTAAATAGAAAAGACAACTGAAGCGTTAGTACTGTCATAGCATTAATTATGGCAAAAAATCCCTTTTTAATGAAGATCCACTTCCCAAATATTTAATTGATAAATAAATGGAAAGTGGGGGGACTATCTGTATTGGGAAAAAACTGAATTTAAATATTAAAGATGACATGTCATGACACGTGGACCGGTCAAATAGTCAAAGCATGACAAACAGTTAGAAGACACGAGCAACAATAGATGCGGGAGAGAAGATACGAGCTACTATCCAGATGAAACGAGACTCGTACCTGTTCGAGCCATTTAAAGCTCGAAGATCAGAAGGAATTGAAGATATGAATCTGATAGCGTAAAAGAGTCCAAATTCAACATTAAATGCCAAATACGTTAGAGAATTTGTATTTAATAAGAGTGATTGAATAACGTTTCTTTTAATGTCATTTACTGCTCGTAATTGCCTCATTAAGACAAAGATATTACACTTTCTCTTAGAATTGACTATAAAAGGAGAAAGTCACAACATTTGTAGGACACGAAATATCATTCCGATTATACTGAAATATACTCTTATTCATTGCTTTATTGTTGTTCACAAAATCTCTTATTTCTTGATTATCAGTAACCCGATTTCTCTATTAAATTCTAGCTTTAACCAAATATTCAGTTTTCTTGTTCTAGAGAGAGTCGAGAGCGTAATTTTAGGAGAGAAAAAGTATCTCTTTTTTTTTTTTTTTTTTTGCTTTCTATACTATTATGGCTGCCTCAATATTATAGATAATAGATTGATGCAAACAAGAAGTAGCAACTAAACACGCCAACATAAAAAAGGATGGCAACTGTCACGTCACAGGTTACATCCTAAATTAGGTATTTATTTACATAACTGATACAATCTAGGGAGAATCACACCCCAAAAACTACCTATTAAAGTGAGAGAGCCCAAGACTATGTAAACCCCACATCAGCACATTGCAATACCGATGTGGGACTCAAGTCCCATACCTTGTAATGGACCATAAGACAGGACGACAGGCGGATAAGATTTCAAGCAATTTTCATCCCACGCATTCGTTATCCGATAAAATGAGCATGTTTGAATTTTATTTTTAATATTACTCTAGAAAAGGTATGAAAAAATAAAAGTTTAAATCGGATCATTTGACTCCTCTAGAAAAGGTTGATGATTTCTGAATTATTTTGTAAGATTCGACTTGGACGAAAGACACTCGAGATATGATGAATCTTTTGTTTAATTTAATAATTTTCTATTTCATACAACTATTTAAGGAAGAATCTTGTCTTCTCTAATATATGAATGATAGTGAAGTTAGGCTGATTCCAGTTTTTCTTTGGTTTTTATCAATTTGCCTATTAACACAATTATATTTTAAGGCCTTTAATTAAAAGGATGCATGCAAAATAGTTGGCAAGAGCGAAACTACTACCTATATCGGATAAGTATTTAAAAAAGAAGGGTTTAACTCCAGTAGCCTTTAATTTATTATATATATATATATATTCTTCATGTATTTTACACGTGTCTTTGCAATCTTTTAAACAATTCCTTTAAACTGAGATTCGGGTACAATAATCGAACATCGAATTGTCTTCTTGCTATATTCCTCATTAATTTTTTTAAAAAGCAAAATTTAAGCGCCCAAGTGCGCTAGACATATTTAGCCTTTGACAAGCACTGCAATATCGGCGTTATCATCTGTGGTATGGTGGATACAATAGGTGGTGGATGATTCTGATACTATTGATATCATCTAGAAAAAATCATATTCCAAATGCTAGTTATTGATATAGGAGAGCCTACGGCTATATAAACCCTGCATTAGCACATTACAATACCAATGTGGGGCTCAAGTTCTATATCTTATAATTAACTATAATACAGTCAGATCTCTCTATAACAACATTCCTATATAACAACAATTTACTATAAAAGCCAAGCTTTTCCGAAACCAAATTTCATGTTATGTTATAATATATGTTCTCTATAACAGCACTCTCGTATAACATCCAAAAAATATTCGGAACAAACGAGACTGTTATAGTGAGGTTTGACTGTAAATCACTTAAATAGGGTGCTCCATTAAAGTAATTGCTTATTACAGTTGGGAGTCTCACACATAATACAAGATATGATTTCAACTTTTATTATTTTTCTTTCCGCTTTGTTTTCTTGACCCCTGATGTAAATCGTAGAATTGACTTGCAATTTACGAGGTGAATAAACCCATAGAAGAAATAAGGTAAACCATTTAGGCCAATAGGTACATAATTAGATAGGGGCGGATGCAGCCTTTTGCCTACGGATTTAATTAAATTCATAATTTTTAACACGAAGTATAGATTTATATAGACAAACCTACTAAAATCTTAACAAGCATTATACTTGAATTCATATTTTTAATAATATAATAAATTCAATGTTAAAATTCTTAAAAAGCTAGGCCCATTAAATTTAAGTCTTGAATCAGCTCTGGAATTAGAGCAAATGTCTGTCAATTCTAAAGAACTAAAAACTACAATATTCTAGTCAGCTAATCGTAAAGTTGCACACCAACTATGTATAATGCACGAATAGTACTTCATAATGATAGTGATACAACATGTTTAAAAATTAATTAGGCGTATGACCCCATCAATGGCTCTTTGTGCATAGTGCGTAAGCAATAGACGATATATATTTGCTTATTTAAATACCTCTCCGTCCAAATAAATAGACTAATTTGAATTGTGAAAATATTTTTTAATCAGTTTCTAAATGAGTTAGAGACAATAATTAAGAAATAGTAGCTCGAAATAGAAAAAGGCAACAATTAATTGGTTATTAAGGTCTCAAATCAAAAGTGAAATACTAAGAAGTAATACACTTCTCTTATTGATGAAGCTGAGATGTTAGTAAGTATTTTTTGCAGCAGAAAAAAGAGAAAACCAATAGGACTAGGACGAAAGGGATTAGGAGTTGTCAACTGAGCTAAAGTAATTCAGTCAGTATAAATATAAATTTGAAGAAAAGACAAGTCAGCCTCCCAGCATCTAGTGATGAGTAACGAGCGAAAGAGCCAAAGAACGGAAGTATGAAAATAGTATGGAAAAATTGCTCATACTTAATGTTTATGCTAAATTAATAAATATAAAACATATTTGGTAAACATATATTATTATTATTTAATTATGATTAAGTGATAATTATATTAATTTTTTACTGCAAAAGTTAAAATGCTTGGTTTCATATATAGACCGAATGCAAATTCATGATAAATTTTATGTATTACTCACTTTTTTACGCTTATATATTTTGAAAAATAAATTGAAAAGAACATTAATATAAGGTCCAGATGTAACATGTGCCACAGGCGGCTAAACAAAGCCTCAATTTTGATTTGTCAAAACCTAACTCCCTTATTACTAGTGAAATAAAGGCTAGCATGAGATCAAAGTCACTTGTCCTCCGTTCACTCTCTATTCAACAATGGCCATTGATATTCTCTTACTTCTCAAGTTTAAAATTTTATGAGCCCTTTCATTATATCCCATAATAAAATTTTTCTGATAAATAACTTGTCGATGAGTCGATTTTAACATAGTATTTAGAATCTTCATGTGCGCTTTAAAATATCAAAAAATATTTAACGCTATTTTACTAACATTGGAGCAGGGGCGAAGCTATATTGACCCTAGGGTGGTCACCTGAACACTTTCGCCAAAAAATTATATTACGTATAAGGTAAAATATTATTTGTTATTCATAAAAAAAATAGACTCGAATACCCTTGCATAGCCCACTGGCAAAGGGTGTTCAAAAGCTATATCGACCCAAAGGTGGCCAACTGAACACCTTCGCCAAAAAATTATACTACGTATAAGGTAAAATATTAGTTGTTATTGATCAAAAAATAGACTTTGAACACCCTTGCATAGCCCACTGGCAAGGGTTTGAACACCCTTATTGAATTTAGAGAAATTTTCATAAAGCACTATCTTTTAGTGGTAATTAGCTATCTATAGATACCATTTGCTATATTACGCCCTGTAGATATGTTTTAAGTTTTTATAAGATGTATTTGATATATTTAGACTATTGTATTCATGAATACAATAGGAAAAATAGGCGTGAATCATGGAAGTCCAGCTAATCAGTTGTTGTATTCAATTGTATTCAAGAGTTGTATCATTGAATACAGTAACATATATTTCTTAAAAAAGTGGACCTTTCAACTGATTTAAAACGGAAAGGAAATCAATCTAGCAAATAGTCTCCTAATATAACTCAACTAACACAATTATATCACCCATAATCTGTATTTCTCCCTTCATTAAATATTTTCCATCCGAAAATATCAAAAAACAGAGCAAATAGTGGACTCTCAATTCTCCCTTCTTTCTTTTCAGTTCCTTTGTTACAGTTCGTACAAAACAAATTTCAACCAAGAAAACTCGAGATTGATACAATTATATACAGACATACGTTGAAATTCGATTTTGCATATGACTACATCAATGTTCCCCTAAATCACGTGAATTTTGTTCCATGGAGTTATTTTTTCCGTTAAATTTAGTTATGGATTTAAATTTACTTATGTCTGTGCAGATTCCTAATGAAGTTGAATAATGAGACGGTCTCCATTGAGCTCAAGAATGGCACCGTTGTTCATGGAACTATTACAGGTATCTCTTTTTTCCCCTACCTCTCAGTCTCTCCATTGTGCGTTTTTTATTGATTATGTATTAATAATACATGTATTGTTGTGGAGCATTACGCTAGTACAGAAGAATTGAATGTAAAATCAAATTGTATGTATATGTATTTAGCTGTATTTGTGAAAGGTTACTTGACCTTCACTGTTGCTCTTTTTTTATTTTTTATGTATTAATAATACATGTATTCTTGTGGAATACAGTGGCTCTAACTGTTTTTTATTAAATGTATTTGTTGTATTAAAATGTATGCTTATAAGTATAGGTGTATTCAGACATGTTTAAATGTATAACAGTGTATATATCTGTGTTGTATAGATGCGATAATATATTCAAATATAGGTGGTGGCATCGACTGAATATTTGCATACGGTGAACAATGAAAGAAGGCATTACACCGTATGCCTCTTAGAGAGAAAATGCAGTTATGGGCGGTTCCAAGTCGACGAATTACCGTGCCCATACGCTTGGGCTGTCCTGAAGAGCAAGTTTCTAATGCCAGAAGATTATTGCTCTGATTATTACAAACCAAAGTCCGTTGTAATGACATATGAGGTGCACGTATATCCTTTGCCGGACCGGAAAGAATGGAATATACCAGCACATATAGCAGATGAAGTTATATTACCACCAAAATGGAAAAGACATCCGGGAAGACCAAAGAAGAAGCGTGATAAGCCGTTCATTGAATTGCTGCAGAAGAAAAATCAACATTCGTGTAGCATATGTGGGCAGGAAGGACATAATAAGCGTACTTGTAGAAATGCTCCACGTAGAAATTAGTTCACATTCTGACTTGTATTAATGCAAAACGATTTGTTATTGGAACCGGTTTCATTTCGAATATATTTTGGATATACTTAGTTGGTGTATTAAATCTGAATTTGTAATTAAAATACGACTATTATATCTTCATTACATCTGAATATAGATGAATACAATCATTGAATACATATGATTACACTCGGTTATATACATAGGATATGATTGTATCATAGGAAATCAGAGATTGAATATGATTTCTGAATATTAAATACATGTATTCAAATACACCTGAATACATATTAATACAATCTGTTATACATGTATAGATGTCTAAATATGTATTGTACAAAGGTCTAAATAGGCTTCAATACATATGCATATAAATGAATGCAGATGAATAAAATCAGTTATATACATAAGACGTATTCAAAATACAGCTGAATACATATTAATGCAATACATTATATAAATATGAAGGTCTAAATACACCTGCTGAAAATATGTGAACATACTCTGCTGAATACATATAAATACAACTTAATGAATATAGATAAATATATCATGTTGAAATACAGATCAATACAATATGGTAAATTATAATATAAATGCAACATGTCGACTTGTTATGAATGTAATAAGTTTGATAGAGAGTAATACAGTAAGTTGAATACTGACTGATACAATAAGTTGAATACATATCAATACAACATGTTGCATACATATCAATACAAACTGTTGCAAACATACTTAAAAAACAACAGGTTGAAGCACAAAAACAGTCAATACATCGATTGGATGCTTCAAAATAATAGTATATAAACACTGTTGATACGGTCAATAAATTAAAAAAAAAATTGTTAAACTAACACCATCTTTACCAACACACTGTCTAAAAAACAGTATTCATAAAAAACTCCCATCGAAAACTACATTCACCTAAGACTACTCTAACATTATCTTAACTGACATATCAGAATCAGTGATGTGCCTAACAATCTTTGAAGGTGCTTCGCTCTCGCTTATGGCATCAGCGTCTATCTTCCGCATAGCATAGTCCCAAAGGAGGGCACCATATCTTTGACGGAGTAAATTGGCATCAAATTTTGTTTGTGGAACCAAACCAACAGTGCTCAGAAACTCTACGTATGCCGCGACATGCACCCCACAATCCCTGAAAGAATACATTAAAACAGTTACAAACAAGAATTTAAAAAAGGTTTCATATTCATCATCAATACATAAAGTCATTAAGTGTTATGAATACATATAAATATAACTAGATACAGTTAAATATTGAAATACATATTCATACCATTGTCAAAACAGTAAATATCTACATACAATATGCAAGGAAATCTGTAATAAGTACGGAAACACAGTGAATGTAAATTTGAAGACATCTAAATATCATATAATAACTAAGTAAGCACAACTCAGTGAATGACATTATAAATGTGCAAATGAGTTCTGGATTGTTTAAATACTTATGAATACAACTAAATACATACGAATACATCAACATACATATAAATCACATGAATAAATACGACTACATCAATGTACCCCTAAATCAGTTGAACAACTTTGAAAGCATATTGATACAATACCAATTGCCTTTTCGTGTCGTGTATCCGAGCTTTTTTTTGCATCAACTTCCTTAAACTTGACACATGAAGATTCATTCATAGGTTTTTTCCTCTTTTTCGCAACTGGAATTTTTGTTTCTTTTAAGGATTTCTCAACTTGGACTTCTTTCGATTTGTCATTGTATAATTTAGTTCTTCTCTCTGAAGCTGTAGTTGCTGCTACACCTGCAAATTCCGACTCCGCTTGAGTTATTTGCAACGAGAAAGAGGGCCCGTCAAAATTGAGAATTTTGGTGGGTATACCTCTGGTTACCATCTTGTGTGATGACGAATCCGACATTGGAGAGAAAAACGATAGCTATCTGTTGAGTAAACAATAACAATGGTTATTGTTTAAGAAGCAAACAAAAATCTGTATCAAAATCGAAGAAGCTAAATACTTTTATCAAAATCTAAGAAGCTAAATACTTACTGCAAGAACTTGTAGCAGGAAATAAAACCACGATTTTAGAGAGAAACTAACTGGGGAGTGATAATGGGGTAGACCTAGCGAATTTGGGTGGGAGAAGAAGTTTGAAACGTGGTTTTGTGGGAGAAGCCAGTAAAGTGTATGAGAGAGAGAGAGAGAGAGAGAGAGAGAGAGAGAGAGAGAGAGAGAGAGAGAGAGAGAGAGAGAGAGAGAGAGAGAGAACGCAGTTTGTGAAATTTATTGTGATTATGTGAGAGAAAATCTGAAAAATGAGAGAAAAATATTAATTAGCGTATATGGTGCCTTAAGTATAGGATGTAACAATAATTAAATATTTTGCTATAAAGGGTAAGGTAGCTATATAATATAATTTTTTTAAATGGTATTTATTTAAAATAAATAGGGTATTAAGCTTTTCTATAGGGTGTAAAAATTCCTTGAATTTACTGGCTTTGCCACTGCACTGAAAAATTATTTTATGCAATTTTTATAAATTTAGATTAAAGAGATTATGTTCTTTTTAAAATTCTTGTTTTTATATTTTGTTAGTACTTAATTATTCATACAACAAACAAATCAAACATCATGACAGAAGATAAAAGAGAGTATTAAACCCAGTTCTGACAGTACCTCCAATTAATACAGGTTCATAACTTCATGTTTCAGAACAACAAAGCTGTGTACTGCTTTAAGAAACTGACAAACAAAAAAGACAAAGCAAAGCAATATACACTGTCCGAAAGCTACGACAATTGGCACCGACGATACTTCTGACTGATTCATTTGGGTACACTCACTTGTCCTTGTTATTAGCTATTGCTATACATAGTGGCGGATGTAAGATTACCCGGGTTCAAAAAAGAAAAAAAAATTAGAAAGGTTGTAGCTAACGTGAATAAAACCAATGATCTTAAAAAAGGTTTTGAACGCCTTGATCACTAAGCTATACTTTTAGGTTGTGTCAAGGGGATTCAAAACATAATATATAGAGGTAAATAACAGATTTTACCTTTTATATACCGTGTAATTTTTTGGGAAGGGGATTCGGGTAAACACCCTTTCGCCCCTAAATCCGCCCCTGGCTATACACACACCTCTTTTTCTTATCAAAATATAGAAAACAAAAAGACTTTGGGACCTTTTTTATATTGACTTTGTATTTTACATCCTAAAGATAGAAGCATATCATGATATAACGTATACGGTAACACTCCTTAGAGATTGGCTTTAGCTAGAAATTACTCTCTCTAACGATAATTGTCTTCTTGTTGTACATTACTGCTATTTTCCAAATTTCTTATAACCTTTTAATTTATTTTTATGCAAACCTCTCCTCCTAATATACTTCTGCAAATTTTGTCCAGAAGTGGCACCTCAAAAACATTTTCCCAAACTCTTTGTCACTGATTCTTATAAAATAAATTTGTTTTTCTGCATAATCTTATACGGTGCATGTTTTTGGGTGGGAAAGTTTTCACACCAGTAAGCTTCATAGTTGCCGATAGGGGTGTTCATTGATCAGTACGGTACGGTATTTAGACATTTCGGTTCGGTATTTTCGGTATTCGGTTCCTTAAAGTACCTATTCGGTATGGTTCGATTTCGGTTATTCGATTCGATAACTTCGATTTATTTGGTTTGAATACTAACTACCGCATAAAGTCATATACTATAATATTCTAAATAAAGTACTCAGATGTACAACACAGAGAGAAAACTGTACATAAAGGAATGAATTTGATTTTTAGAAATGTCTTGTTACTTGTTTAGAATTAATTGATGAACTTAGAGAATAAAAAAAAAGTAAAATTCTAAACTTTTTATATTTATAATATAATTAATAATATGTGTATTTTGTAATATATATTTCGATACGCTATTGATATTTATCATACCGAATACCAATTATTGAATAACAAATACCAAATTTTTTCGATTTCGATACAATAATTCAGTATTTACCAAATTATGCACGGCCATGTGAAATTAAAGGCGTTTCATAAATCACAAGTAACACGAAGCCCCTTATTTATGTATGCTATGGGTTGGAAAAGTTAATTACATTCTCTACTGCATTTGATAAGGTGGCATTTTTTAAAGGAATATTACCTCTTATAGCAAATCTTTACACCTTATTTATTATAAATAAATACCGTTTTATAAAATTATATTCTATAGCTACCTTTTAGGTTTTATAGCAAATTATCTATTTATGATCACTTCCTACTGTTAAGCCATTAAATACGCTGTGAAATATTTTTCTCTCTCATACTTTCTTTTCTCTCTCTCTCCCAATAACACCGGTATTGTATACAATTTTGTTAAACCCACGTTCTCTCTCCACTATCTCTATCCCAACCCAGTATCTTCCCCACGAATACAAGCTCCATTATGATTCATCTCCATTCTCTCTCTCAATTTTCAAATTGTTGCCAAAAAAATTGTGGTAAGTGTTAAACTTATTAGTTTTTCGCTGGCACATGTATTATTCTATATATTTGTACTTTTTTTTGTAGAACATTCACCGTTGTTATCCTTTTACAGAAAACTCGGATTTTCTTCTTCAATGGCTGATTCAACTCCTTGCAAGAGGGTTATCCGAGGTATACCGGCCAAAACACTGAATTTCGAAGGGCAATCTTTCGATTTGCAAATCACTCAAGCAAAACATGTATTTGCAAATTCAGCAGCAAATACAGTTGCGGAAAAAGAGAACAAAAATGCGCATTGACACCTCGAAACAAGCCCAATTTGAGATATTTCCGAAAGAATCAACACTTTCACTGTTTGTTTTTAGATGTATTTAGATATATTTGGATGTATTTAGATGACTTTCACTGTTGTACTTACGAATTGTTATTATTTCAAATTCATATATTCATCTGTATTTTACTGATAAATAGTTAATACACTGACTTTCGCTGTTTGTTTTTAGATGTATTTAGTTGTATTTAGATGTATTT